ATTTTTATTATTCAGTTTTACGTTTCTAAATTTGAGATATTAAATTAAGCTAATCTTCTTGGTCGCCGCATTCCTTATTTTCGTTGTTCAAGATATTCACTCGACCCTCGATGAACCCACCCCACTCCAATGTAACAAATTCTTGTGCTAGAGGTACGGCTAGTTAGTATTACCATGTATTGAAGAAGGGTCCATGCACAATATAATAATAATGTTAAGCCTGGTTTGATTTTAATTTTTTTTTTCAAATTCATTTTCAATCGCATACGTTCTCTGAGTAAAATTATTTCGCACCTTGACTTGTAACTTTTTTCTATTTTTTAATCACATTTTTTTTAAAAAAATTACTTTTCACAAAAAATTTAAAATCAAACAAAGGCTAAGTGTTTGAGATTGTTCAATTTATTGAAACAAAAACATGATTGAAAACGAGTTTATTGAAAAATAATTTTCAAATAATGTGTGCTAAACAAATGCTAAACCGTCAAGTCATGCTACGAACACTAATTTAAACGATATTTAACAGAAAAGGAGAAATGTGTAAAATGTCTAGTCGAGTGTCCAATTTGTTTCAGTTTTATTCAATTCGTAATAATTTCATTTTATAATATGAGATGATATATTTATCAAGAACTGTTAGTATTTGAAATCCATTTGACTGCATTGGAAACCACAGAATAAAAATAGAATTTATATGAAACAAATTGAAATTCCTTAAAAGCATAGATATGATTATAGTTGTAACAAAATTTAGCCTTTGTCTGCTATATAATGTCGGCCATAATAAAGCTACAAGGAGACATATTTCCTCATTTCCATATAATAAACCTAACACTTTGATTTTTCTTTTCTAAAATTACGTCAAAACATCTAGGATTATACATATGATAATTCCATATTTCATGGACCAACTGGGACATGTTTGTTGTGTATGGGACGACGTCGTCTAACCCAACCGTAATCCATTGTAAAGTATTCGGATTTCTTGGCTTCTTGATGATCAGTAGGTTCTTTCCATTTTACTGTTCCTGGATGCATCAAATTTTTCTCTTTTTGATATAGTTTGTTACCTGAAATAAGAAAATTTATAGTATGATGAGAACATGAAATAATGGTTTCACTGCAGATTTTTTTCTTACATTCTTGTGGCATCTACTTGATCATATATTAAATTTCGTGAGAAAAAGCACGTTGGACGAAGAAAATAAAAGAAATTGACAAGGTCTATGTGATAAATTTGTCATTCGAAAGTGCATCGGCTTTTCCTTATATGAAACAGTTTTATGAAGGTTATAATTTCACATGGAACGTTTCATTTAAAATTTTAAGTCGTTAGACCAATAATATAGTTAGGTGCATAAATCAAAATATTATAAATATTACTAATCAACTGTAGTGAAGATTGAGTTAAACTTAATTTCGCATAAACGGAACCAAGAAGCACACGGCAAGTTCTTGAAAAACAACTTACAGCAATGGAATGCATATGTCAGATAATTGTATTTGTAAGCAATGCCTCTCATTGTAAAAGATATTCATTTTTAAATATATGCATCTTTTACTCAAAAGAGAATTGTCAAAAATTCATTAGCACAATAAATATTCATCAGTGTGTAATTTGTGTGAAATAAGAATGTCAGACCTGATGAACCTTCCATGTTCCTCTTGTATGGCCCAAAATCTCTCTTTTCTACACTTTTCACCTGTGTAAACCGAAGATATTGTAACATCCCATAATAAGTTTTAGGATTTTATATGGAGCTATGATTTAGCATAAATAAATGTTCATGCGTGCAAGACGAGGAATTAATATGTCTTTCGTATGGTATGAAGAAAATCATACAATTCCTTCTTCCTTGAGTTTGAGCTTCTGCTGCTGCGACGGAAGAAGATTAAGCTGGGCTGTATCATGGGCTGCACATTTACAAAACTCGCAACATTACGCTTCATCCACCATTGCTCACACAGGGCAATTACCTTGAAGACAAATCATAACAAAAAAGGATAAATTCCTTACCTTTTTCGATAGACTTCTTCACTTTTGATTGATCTGAAGCACAAGGCGCAAATATAAAAGAAATAAGTATAAAACAAGTAGCAATGATGGTTAACAGTTCCATGGTAAGATTATGGGGTTTTCTTTACCTTTGAAGCTTGGAATTTATAGTAAATCAAGAAAGAGAGGAAAAAACAGCAAAGAGAACATACACAAAGCACAAAATTCAGATTTCCAAAAATGGCACACGGCCTCTTGTTTTCTTACAAAATTTATATTTTTATATATGGGGTTTACCTTTTTATACCGTTGGGGACCAAAGGCTCTAGTTTTCTGACAAAAAAATATGCTTTATATTTAAGTAACTCAAATATTTGATGACGAGCATACTAAACTTAGGTTAGTAAAGCCTATGTTGGTAATTATGTGGGCTATGTACATTTCTTATCCTTAATCGAATGATGATGTGGGGTTGACCTGGGTTCCTTGAGCTGAATTGTAAAAGAATTTGCATCAGGCTAGGAATTTCTAACATATGTGAATCAGAAAGATTTTGAATTATATATGAAACTGAAATATTTTTGAAGAAATTTTCTAAGAAGGATGAAGTCTATTGGACAGACAGAAAGATGGCCGCCTTTTCTTTTTCCGCCCATATTTTGCAGCCCAAGTCCCACAACAAAAGGTCGTCTGTATAAATCCTTTTCCATCACTTTGTTCGATTGATTTCTAGATTTGGAAAAAGAATAAGATCCTCATAACTCTGCTAATACCAGTGGAACAAAATAAAGATTGCAATTTTCTCTACAAGGTTGCTAAAGGCAACTGGGAATGATCATTCTCCTCTTATTTTTATTGATTAGACGTTTGAAAGGTTTATCTGTCACCCTCACTACTATTTTATTGATGGTTATTCAGTGTATAACCAAATTCCCATAGTCCAAAAGGTCAGGAGAGAGACTACATTTACTTGCTATATGGCTCATTTGCTTACGTGGGGATGTCATTTGGATTAAGCAAAACTCTTACTACATTTGAGTGTTGTATGATGTCGATATTTTGTAAGATAACTTATTTTGGATGGTATAAGTACCATAGAACTTGTCAAGTCAATCAAAAAACTTGGTGAATTTTTGAAGTATCGAGACTAATTGTAGTATAATGAATATAATTAACAAAGATAGATTCATTTTGAATAATTAATTTGAAAATTAAAAAAAAAAGGAATTGTTTTCATAGTATTTTATTATTTTTGTAT